ATGACCCCCAGGTCCTCAGCATGGGTGCAGTCATTGATTCCCCAGCCATTTGAGCGACAGTTTGCAATAGAGGACTCTGTGCCCGTGCAGTGCACATTATCCAACCAGATCAAACCTAACAGCAAGAAAGGGTGGTAAGTTATTGAATCAAAAGCAATGAAAACTTTAGTAGCAAGCTATTCCAAACTAAACGATTGGGCATACCATGACCCTCGCCGAACTTGGCACTGTGCGCCCAGGTCAAGCCACGTTGAAAGCCCAGCTGTCGGCACACCACATTGGCCAGGTTAAGATCTACGTCATCGTCACACACTGTGCCCCACGCGCCATTGTAGAGCACCTCGACACGTCCCTCGTTTGCACCGCGCCGGCCTGTACCTGCTAGACGTACAAGCACTTCCTGGGCAGACAGCGGAGGGGAGTAGAGGAGAAGCAGGAGGAGGAGTGTGGACAGGGAGCTGAGGCACAGCATCCTATAGGGAACAAAAAATGCACTGTGGAGAATTAAGAAAGAGCTGATGGGCACTGAACAGAAATGATGTGACATTAGATAAAGAGAGGGGAAAACAGAGAAGAGATATGTAAAGCAGGAGCCCCTAAATACATTATGCACGTGTTGCCACAAAAATCCAAAAAAATCACGCAAAGCCATGGAACTCACATTCCATACTCTGACAAAACATATAATTTGAAACTTCTCCTCTAACCCTAATGGGACATTCCACAGTAAAAATGAAAGATTGATAGATGTTTTTATCCTTTAAAATAATCAGAGACTTTAAAGGACAGTCAGGGAACTTGAGAAACACTGTGAAAGACGGAGCCCTCAGTCTGAACCAGTCAGGGCAAAGGGAGTAATAACCCAAGCTAAAAGTAGCCTCTCCATCCAGCCAACGGAAACTTTGGCTTTCCGCAAACCCTCAAGCTTAGCTGCATGCATTTAGCCAACAGACACAAAAGCAAATAAACACTGTCGTAAAAATGTTCTCACACATAAATAAAGCAGCAGGTTGGTGACTGTGAGAGAGGTTTTGGTTAATGAGCAATGATTAATTCATCCTTGGACCACCCCTTTAAAAAAGTTTTCTTCTAATACAGAGGAAGAAACTGGAGAGATAAGGAACAAGAGGAGAGGAGATCTGGAAGATGAGAGAGACACCTTATTGTGTCAGGGCTCAGTCAAATTCTGCTTTCCATAAGCCTACATACAACAGTACAAACAAATATGTGTTAAAAAAATAAGTCAGACTTATGGGGGCTAAAATTGAGGTTGTTAAAGAGATATGAGTTCAGACAGCTGCAGGGATGTAATCTTGAATGATGGAGGGAAAATGGACAGAGGCAAAATGTGAGATAAATTGTGATGTGAAGACAAAAATGCCAAAGTCAAACTCACCTGTCTGTTGATCTCAGCCTGGAGTCACAAGGAGAAAGAAGGGAGAGAGCACTGGAGGAAAGGAAGGCAGTGAGTTTGGTCCTGCTGTCTCTCTATTCTCCTCTTCTCCCTCCCTCTTTCTTTTTCTGTCACTCCCTCAGATCTGCCACTTTATCCATCCCTCCCATTTTCTTCATTTATGCAACTGTTTTTTTCTCCTTTTCATCTGGTCACATTTGTCCTTCCCATCACTCAACAACCATCAAAGAAAACCTGACCACGGAAATCAATGAAAACACAAAGGAAAAACCAAACACAATCAATGAGCTTTATTTTTCAGCTTTTCCCAACATCAAATCAGACTACCAACATTTAGGTCGTTATAATTTGTGCATCCCAAGACTTGCCAACACTTGTTATTATATATAGTGAGTTGCCACTCTGCAAACCAGCTTTTTCTTACCGTGTGGTCACATGGTCAGTGCACACAGGACACGTGAGCTCAACTTATAAAAGAGCATGATTTCATAAGGATTTTTCTCTCCTTATATCACACACATGCTGGTCCCAGTCCATTTATACTTGATTTATTGTTTGTGTATTAAATGTTCTGTATCAAAGTCTTACCCAATTCTCAGGCTCATTTCATGCAAAAAAAAGTTAAACAAAAAAAGAAAAAAAAAAATCAGTTTCCCCTCTGATGTTTGAAAGGGTTAAAGGGCGTGCATTTTTTATCCCACACAATGGTAAAATCATATGCACAAATACACAAACTCTCTCTCTCTCTCTCTCTCTCTCTCTCTCTCTCTTTCTCTCTCTCTCTCTCTCTCTCTCCCCCTCCCTCTCTCTCTCTCTCTCTCTCTCTCTCTCTCTCTCTCACACACACACACACACACACACAGTGCTGGCACCATCCCATGCCCACAGTTAGTGGTGTCATGAAATAAATACTATGTGCTGTGCAGTAAGAATGGAGCTGCCTGTCTTAACTCTTTCACTTTGCATAAAGTTCAGTTTCATAACCTCCTCAGTCGTGGCACCTCCTCACATGGAGGAAGCTCTCTCTAAGAATAGAGACAGACTGTTACTCAATGTTTAAAAGAAAAAGAGAAGATATACCTAAAGATGAGGCTACAGTAGTTTAACACTTAATAAACTGAACCTAAAACTGAACATGTGATAAAAACAGAAATCCACATCAGTTTATCTAATTTAGAAACAGCAGAAATATCTTTTTTCCAAATGTACTTTTTTGGCGTTTTAGCACCACAAGCTGAGTGCCATCTAGTTCCATTAAAGTGAAGAGAAGGCAGACATCTCCAAGGCTGATATCTCCAACACTCAGCAACTCACACCAAAATAATCTAGACTGATAAATAGCACTAAAGGCAAAAGGGAAAAATATGTATTTTTGATTTTGAGGTGAACTGTCCCTTTAAAAGTCAAGAAGCTCCTTTTGATGATGCAGGGCTATGTGTTCATATCACTCTTGCTGGAATACTATATTATTAATCTTTACTTTCCTCAGTACCACGTAGCTTTGAGTGCAGCTCAGCAGATAAACAGGAGTAGATGGCTGGGTCTTAAAACTCATTTCACATACATATCAATATCTGTGCCTCAAAGGCAACAACTTACTGGAACATCTTAACATGTGTGATTTTAACACTTTATCTCACATTTACATGTATTTTTACACTAAATTTGTATGCTGCTTTTGTGAAGTAAGACTGTATGAGATGAGACAGGAGACAGGGCTCAAGAGCTCACTCTAGTGGAGTAAATCAACACTGTTGTTCAACATCAGTCTGATATATAACAGCACTGTAGCTTGAAGCGTTCTATGACAATTTATGTGTAATCCATGAGGCAATTTTGTGTGCACATTTTTGGTCACCAGGTGATCCAGTCGGTCATAAACTTTACAGGAACATCTATATCACAACTTTGACACCTTTGTCACAAAAAGTGCTGCAAACTATTAAAACACAAGCAAACTTAGAAATAGATTCACAACTTGTGCAACCAAAAGAAACAGACTGCAAATTCAGAACAGACAAGCAAACAAAAACGGACTACAGTAAATTCCTTTTCTGTCTTTTCTTCATGTAAATGAAAAGAAATCTATGTTAATGTGCAGCAATACTGTCATGATTTTTGCAATTCTTTGTTGCTTTAATATGAACAGAAACACAAACACTGCTGAGGCAGGAGAAGTGAAGTGTGTGGACTCTGTAAGACACAAAAACATCTTTAGTAGAAAGAGTTAAGAATTAGGGACCTCTAGAGGCTGCAGAGTTTATTGCACTCCACAATACAGGATCGTGAAGAACAGAACAAACTGCTTATTTTTTATCTTATATTTTTTTTCAGGATGCACCAGTGGAAAGCCAATGGGATCATCTAAAATAATAAATATTTAATTTACACAAGGGCTCCAACCATTGATTATTGTCATTATAATTTTATTACATCTAAGCAAATACAACATCAGAAAACAGTGAAAACTGATGTTCCAAATTTCCCAGAGACAAAGCAAATGTCATTATTTTTCCAACCAACAGTCCAAAAGCCAACTACATTTAATTTAATGTCATATATCAATCATCACATTTCAGAAGGTGTAACCATCCAAATAAATCAGTTATTAAAATCAGTGACTTTAAAATTTACATATAGAACCAGTGGCAGACACGGACTCAGTTAGCAAACTGTAAGGTACAACAGTTATGTTTCATCTCATAAACTAGAATTACCGCCATGCGGCTGTGTGCCTCTGTGCACCAGTCAATTTTCTCTACAGGTTACATCCATGTCTGTGAAAACATGGATGCTTCACACAAAACAGCACAGAAGATCAGCACAGTTTCAAAGTGGACACCCAAGATTAGTGTCATCAGTGAAGTATCTGACCAAATGTCCCCCCTTCTGTACCTAAGATATGATGCTGAATAATGGCCAGAAAGGTGTTTTATGCAGAACAATATGACGTCACAGTGAAGCTGATATTTTACCCTTTGGATGTAAAATGTCATCACTTCATTATTTTTATCCTATCAGACATTTGTGCCAAGTTTTGTCTTAATTAGCATATGAATTTTATGTTATAGCCAAAAACATATTTTATGAAGTCACAGTGACCTTGACCTTTGACAGCAAAATTCCAAGCAGTTTATTCCTTAGACCAAGTGGACGTTTGTGTCAAATTTAAAGAAACTGCTTTAAGGTGTTCTTGAGATACCACATTTACGAGAATGACACAGATGCAAGGTCACACTGACCCTGACTTTTGACCACTTAAGTCCAATCAGTTCATTGTTGAGTCCAAGTGAAAATTTGAAGAAATTTTGTTAAGGCGTTGTTGAGATGTCATGTTCAATAAATTTATAAGAGAGGAATGATATAAAATATGAATCTGGGATCTAAGTATGCCTTCAACCTCTGCCTCTAGAGCCAGTGTTTGGTTTGTCCATTCTGGATTACTGTAGAACAACACTGCGGACTCTGTGGAAAAGGACCCGCTCCATATGTAGATATAAACAGCTCATCCTAAGGTAACAAAAACACAATGATCCTTATTTTCAGGTGATTCTAAACAAATGAAAACATAGTTATGAATATTATATAGCATTGCTGCCAATAGATGCCCCTATATCCTACACACTGGACCTTAATTATTTGGTGAATTGAAATACTATTAATTTTGTTTTTAACTGCTGAGTTTTCAGGCTTTCTTGATGACATGATACATCACTGCTTCTTACAACACAGCACGACAAAGAGACTAAACAAAGAAATGAAAAAAAAGGAAATTCCACTCAAACACTCAGAGTCGTCGGCCTCAGTATCCTGACAGTGTGGAGACAGCTGGGTATCGTTTACGGTGAGTCATGCACTTGTCTCTGTCAATGAACAGTGAGTGGGTTTTACAGTTTATGTCCTTCTCCAGAGTAATGCGTGATTCTTCCAGGTGGGACAGGGAGCCTCTGGCCTCACTCAGCTGCTGGTGCAGAGACGCCAGAGTGGCATCAATCTGCCTCACCTCTGCCTCCAAACTGAAGACACAGGAAGCAGACATCATGAAGAGAGAAAAAGGATAGAATAGAGATGAGATGGTGCGTGTTTCTGTATGTGTACCTGAGCTGGGGCTCATCTCTGCAGAGATCCATGTTGGGTCTGAGGGAGCGGGTGTAAAGTCTGGACTGAGTGACTCTCAGTGGAGCCTCTTTGTTGTGGATGGCCTGCTGCAGGGCCACAATGTTCCTCTCCTGGGCCCCAATCTGCTCCAAGGTCTTCGAGGATTGTTGAAAACATGGGTGTTAAAAGATCCTCACCCTCAAATATGCAATGTTCACCCATGTTTCAAGTACTATTCTTAAATGTGGAATCCCCTTAATCAGTTGATGCTACTTGTGTCCCTCGTAGTAGATATTTTGTTTGTTTACAGGTACCTGGTACTTGGCATTTTGTATTCAGTTCTAATTTGGAGGTTTGGTTCCCAACCAGTGATATAGTGAAGGCTGTAGTAGCATTGATTTCACAAAATCTCCACCCCCTAAACACATGCTTGTGAACCAGGAGTGAAGTGGGTTGCGCTGGACCACATCAGCTGCGGACCTTTGAAGCTCAAGACTTCTTGATGTGGTTCCCTAAGCCCAGGCTAACCTTTCATTCATTATACATGTTTGTTAATCCTTTTTAGGATTGCGGAGAGGCTGGAGCCTATCCTAGCTGACATTCGGTGAGAGAAAGGTACACTGGACAGGTTGCCAGACCATTGCAGGGCTGACACATAAGCCGCTTTTACACTGCCTGCTGAAGGCAGGAATATTGTGAGGTTATTCTGCCTGCCGTTCTGTATAAAAGTTTCAATCCCGGAATTGGGGGACAGAGTCATCTAGCCTCTGAGCCAGGAACGCAGGTAGTAACAGTGCTGAAACAACAGCCGGCAGGACAGGATTATAGGCGGAACAGCTGTGATGTTTTGATGATATGTTATGTATGTGACCCACCCGGGGAGATTAAATAGTAGCAGTCAGCGGCTAACTCAAAGAAGAAAAACAGTGGCTGAAAATGCCCGCAAATTGGATATACAATGAAGTGCAGGAGCTCCTAACCCTCCGAGCAGAGGATGAGATAAGCCGCCATACACCAGGAACAGTAAATTACTGTGAGTGTCAAGTTCATGCCATTGTTATTGTCTATAAAGCGCTGCAGATGTGTCTGTTATATATGTCACACTAGAGACTGACGCTGTTGTGTTACATGTTGCGGCCGTGACGCCTCTTTGGATTACGCGATGCCGGCATGCTGTCTAAAATTACACACTGGAGTCGGGTGATGCTGCCATTGTTTGGTTCTGTATAAAAATGGAAAGGTGGCATAAAGAGGGGGCTTTATAGCGGCTCTATAGCGTGATGTCTGTGTAAAAAGAGCGATGGAGACAGACAACCATTCATGCTCACAGTCACACCTACAGGCAATTAAGAATCAGCCTGCATGTCTTCAGAAGTTTACGTCACCAGGATGGTTTTACCAGGCTATCTCATAGAGGGTTCTGGGTGGAGTCTTTCACAGATGGTTCCAGGTATAACCCCCTTTATTGGGCTCTAGGTAGAACCCTCTGAAAAGGCTCTAGGTGGAATATTTATAAAATTATAAAAGATTCGATCCAGACCCAAAAACGGCTCTCCTATGGGGACAAGCTGAGGAAACCCTGTATGGTTCGAGTTGCCACCTATATTTCTTGGAGTGTGCCTGTCAGTTACCTCTGCGAGCCTTATCTCTAGCTGGGTCTTGGCCTCTATCAGCTCCGTGCAGCGCTGGCTAAAGGCTTGGTCCACAGTGGAGCACTGGACTCTCAGGTCTTCAGTGGTGTCCTGCAGCACTTGCTCCACCAGCAGTCTGACACACACAAACAGCATCACGATGTTCACTGAAACCTTCACAGCAGCCTCCATCACACACAGTCTGAACCACAGCTCGCTCTCACCTAAGACTATTGGTGGCCTGCTCCTCCTGCATGGCCTTGGACAGGTTGTCCTGTGTGAATTTTGTCCATGATGCGCAGTTACTCACCCTGCAGCAGACCAGAAGACATAAAAGTTGTGCTCACTGTTTCTCATTTTATGTACTGCTAAGTATTGAAAATGGTGTTACACACAGAAACACATATACACAAAGACTCACTGGTCCTGCATGGTGGCTGAGCTGGGGTGGTGCCGTGTATCTGGGCTCATGTTAGTGTATCTTCCACACTGGTCATCAAGGTTGTAGGCCTGGTACTTATCAGACCAGTCCAACTCTAACGTCTGCTTGGCATCTCTGTTCATCCTGACCCACACACAGACACACACTAAAGTAAGAGCTTCAAACTTAACAGCATATTTTTGCATGTCAGGCAGTTTAATGCACTGGAAACAGGTTCTGACACTCACTTGATCTGACTGACAACCTGAACTGTAGTTCTCTTAAGAAGAGCCTGGATGCTCCTGATCAAGTCCACCTCCTGCAAAACACACACACCCCTGATTAGTGCGTGTCCCAGTGAGCCCTCTGCTGGTGTTGCTGCACGTCTACACTGGATTCGCTGTAAAACACTTGATCCTGAGAATATAACTATGAACCACCACCGATTTATTATTTTAAAGGGTTCTACAAAATATTTTCTTGATTATTCGATCAATTAGTTGGTCAACAGAACATCAGAAAAAAAAAGAAAATGCATCTCGCATCAAACGGCATCTCAATTTTCTATTTTTAAAAGCTAAAAGATAAAACCTAAATATGTCAGGAAATTAGCAACTTCTCAAATTTTAGAGGCTGCAGTGATCAAAAAGTTGTAGTTTTTGCTTGAAAATGGACCTGAAATTATAAATCGATAAGCAAAATGGTTCAAAAAATTTTCTTGACCGGATCATCTATTCATTGACTAACTGTTGCAGCCCTATCATTTTAATTTGAAAAAATAGCATCCTAACAATATGTATCAGTCTCCATGGTATGGTTTCCATTCCCAAAGTATCCCATAATGAGTATCAGTCAGTCAAGATTGTGTTACTGTTGACATGTTAATATGTCTTTATCATATACAGTCTTAATTTAATTTATTCTGAAGAAATATTTGCTGTATATCTTTTATATACCCTATTAGTCATATATCAATTAAAATAACACTCACTCTATAATAATTATATTTAAATTTTAATTACTTGTTATATAATAATTGTCCTATTATCTATAAATACACTATTCTTTATTTGTCAGCCACACAATAACTTGTAAGTAACATCAGCCCCAATATTTTCCCTTTGTATAAAGAATTACAAGTACATTCTGTAGACGTTCATCCTTTTACAAAACAGATGAACAACCTGAGATGTCTTAAGAAAAATAAGTGCAATTTCAGCAGTCTCAGTTTTTCCATGTTCAGTTAGTCTACCTCTCACTGTCAATACATGTGCAATTATCTTTACATTTCCTGATACAGATGATTTTGAACTGAAGCTGCTGACTGACAATATTGTTTTTGTTCAATATAATTAAACATGGCCACAGTAAGTATTCATTGTTATATCAGAGAACTGTATTCGGGTCAAAGTGGAAAAGCATCTGAAGCAGAATTTCACGTGAATCAGGCAATGCAGTGTTTAACTTGCTCCTGAAACCTGGCACCTCTAGTCCAGTCATCTAGTAGGCCGGATTGGACCCTTTGACGGGCCGGTTCTGGCCCACGGGCCATATGTTTGACACCCATGATCTAAACTTTATTTTGAAGCCAGTGGTCACCTTTAACAGCTCCTCCTCCACGGTGTCTCGGACCAGATCTGGTCCAAGTCTTCTGGTCCTGCAGTTGAGATTATCGGTGGCGATGGCGTACGGAGTCTCGGTGGCGTCCAGCGCCTTCTCCAGCCTCGTCTTCAGCGCCAGCAGTGCCTCCGTGTCGGCCTGCAGCTGGTCGATGTGCCGCTGCAGCTCAGACTTCCAGTAGTGGATCTCTTGCAGTCTCTCCCCCAGCAGACGCGTTCCCTGGGCCTGGGTCTTCAAAGTGGCGGCCTCGGTGTTCTGGTACAGAGTTTTGGACTCTCTCTGGATGCTCCGGGCTTCGTGCTGGTCGGCACCGGCCTGTTGAAGGATGCTGTGGTAGTTGTTGAACCACTCAGCCGGGGAGTATTTAGCTGAGCGGTACCCGGCTGTGGCTGAGCCCGAGGACAGCTGCGGGACATCCGGCTCCAGAGGGGACTCTCTCTCCGGGACCCCCTGAGCCACAGCCCTGCTGTCATAGTGTGGCCTTGATACTAAAACCTCAGAGCTCATTTTATAACAATTAAAGACAACTTATTTAAGCAGCTTTAGTCCTAAATAAAAAGTAGAATCAGTGATGCACAGTAGACCTACCCACAGTCCTGGGGCAGACTCAGCTGTATGTTTGTTTGGTGTTGCCTGGTTACTCCTGTTGGCAGGAGCAGCTCCTGCAGCAGCTCTGGCTCAGGTGACTAAGTATTAAAGCTGACAGGGATTAAATTGCATTTTCGGTCATTAATTAAGTGTAACAAACAGAGAAGAATATATATTAATGGAATCAGCAGGACTAAAAGCCTCTGGGGTCCACTCAGACTGTGTGTGTTCTCATAAAACCTTTTTACATCCACTTGTTTTTTGCACCCAGCATGTGTTTTTGGGGCTGTTGCTGTCCCCATCATTACTTTCTTATTCTAGACCAGGGGTCAGCAACATTTACTATTAAAAGAGCCATTATTGGCCAAAATAAATAAATAAAAATAAAATAATTAAAAATAGTAAAAATCTGTCTGGAGCTGCAAAACATATTTGAATAAATAATTATTTATCATTATTTGATAGTTATTATTTCTTAGTTATCATTAAGTCTAAATTAGTCCATCAACATTATGAATAGATCTAAATGAGCATTAATATGATTTACTACAAGGTGGCAGCTCTGCAGTGGGCTATTTATAATTATTCAGTACTTGCACTTTGCAACGTTGGTGCTGAAAGCAAATGAATCCATCCACAGGTTATTAAATCCTCTATTTTCCTCCAAGACTTAGAGAGACTCCAGGCCTAACGTTTAGCAAAATTTAGAGGAAAAGACACCAGGTCGTAGACATATGACACATTTTAGTCAGTGAAACATTCAAACATTTTTTAATTTGATATATAGGTTACACATTTTTACAAATGTAGAATGCAGTAATCACTTTAGGCCAACTACAATGACAAATGAAAATCCTGATGTTAAAAAATAACCATTATTCATTTCCAGATAATTTAATTCGAAGCCACAGGGAGCTACTGGAGAGGGTCTAAAGAGCTGCATGGCGCTGCAGAGCTGCAGGTTGCCTACCCTTTTTCTAAATTATATACTTCAGTGTTTAATTTCTCATCCTTTTAGTTTACCAAAGCACCGTGGGTCCTGAGCTTACACTCCTGTTGACCCCAAAACATCAGCAGAATGACTGTATGAAGGGACAGTGTTGTGCTGACAGGGATCATCACAGTCTGGTACAGAAACAGCACTGAACAGGACCACAAGGCCCTATTAACACTTAGAAATCATGATAAATGTGAAAGTAAAAGAGCCTGAGCAAAATCAGAATAAAGCCATGAATATGAGTTACAGCACCAAATATCTCTCATGGTATAGATTAATCACAAAGGCCAACCTGGTCGAGACAATAGAAAGGTATGAACACAATTAGACATGAATGTGTGTTGGTCAGCTGCTCTCTGAGACAATACAGACACTGTTGAGCTGTTGTTACAGATTACAGTAGATATCCTCTTCCCTGGTGATGTTTTGATACACAGACTCTTGTTGGTCTTCACCTGCCTTGTTATGGTACAACATGCTCTGTTGCTTGGAGGAGCCCATGGTTGAGCACGCTACATCTCCTTGAACTTCATACGTCTAAAAATAAAAACAAAAATTAAACACAGATGAACAAACAGGTACAGTTACACTTAAATGTGTGGCATGTTTAGCTGAGTGCCAGAGTTAGGAGACTCGAGTCAGATTCGGGTCACAGATTTGAGGGCTTGAGAGTTGCATGACAAACATTGATGAAAGATTCAACTCGACTTGGACTTGGTGTTAATGACTTGAGACCTGCTTGACAAAGGTGCTGTGTGTAACTCTGGAGGAACACAGTTGATTGTTGAGTCTCATTCCCAGATCGTCAAATACCGATGCTTTGTGCTAATGGTTCAGTCAGATTACCAACCCACAATGCTGATATTTGGCAACCGGGGAATGAGACCGAATGAGTGGGGCAGCAGGCCAAGCAAAGCACCCCAGACATCCCTCTCCCCAGCAACGCCTTCCATCTCCTGCTGGGAGACCCCAAGGCGTTCCCAGGCCAGATGAGATATGTAATCCCTCCATCTTGTTCTTGGTCTGCCCCGGGGCCTCCTACCAGTGGGACGTGCCTGGAACACCTCTAACGGGAGGTGTCCAGGAGGCATCCTGATCAGATGCCCGAACCACCTCAACTGACCCCTTTCGATATGAAGGAGCAGCAGCTCTACCTTGCGCTCCCTCCGGATGTCCGAGCTCCTAACCCTATCTCTAAGGCTGAGCACAGCCACCCCACGGAGGAAACTAATTTCAGCTGCTTGTAGCCACTATCTCAGTCTTTCGGTCACAACCCAGAGCTCATGACCATAGGTGAGGGTTGGGACATAGATGGAGCAGTAAATCAAAAGCTTCACCTTCTGGCTCAGCTCCCTTTTCACCACGATGGTCCGGCACAGCGCCTGCATCACTGCAGAAGCCGCACTAAACCACCAATCCATCTCAAGCTCCATTCTACCCTCGCTCTTGAACAAGACCCCAAGATACTTGAACTCCCTCGCTTGATTGTGTAAATGTCAACATAAAAGGCCTCTGCTACTTTTATGTTTTCATTGGGGGCACAAATGCACACGTAAATATTGAAGGGGACCTGTCCCTTGCATGAAATCTACACTTATGGTCCCACCCACCGTCTCTTCTGCTTCAGCAGTCTTTGTTATATTTCTGCTCAAGCTGACTTCTTGTCCTGGAGACACACAGGTACACAACACAATGTATGGAGTCATAGATAGAGAGTATAAATGTGTGTGTTTGAGCATGTTGTGTGTGATGCATACTGTACCTTTCCGGTGGCATTTATAAATTACGACCAGGGTAAATGCCAATATCAGGAGTACAGCAAGTACAACAAAAACCACTACGAGAACAGGTGAAACATCTGAAAAAATACAGAACAAAGTGAAGTACACTTCCTGAAAACACATATTTAGTCTTCTACTCTGTGTGTTATCACAGTCTTGAGCACTAAACAGCAGAAGTGGCACCAAACAACCAGAATGAGCTCTCAGCATTTGTTTCATGTTCCTTTTTCATGTTAAATAAGGACATCAGCTCACAGTTGGCTCGCCATATGGACACACACACACATACCTTTGATGTGTTTGTCAGGGATAAGTGTTGATTGTGATCCAACAGGTTCTACAGTGATGTCAGGGGTCACAGTGCTGGTCAGTGGTGGAATGACTGTCAGAAAAAAAAAGATCCTTACGAATGCTGTTATTTTTAATTTTCTATTTATTTCCACATGGACAAAAAGAAGAAAAAAGTACTTTTATTTTTAACTTTTCAGCCGTGTGGTTTCTCTGTTGCTCTTTTCATAGTCTTACCTAGTGACAGCTCAATCTGTGTGTAGTCAGCAGGACTCCACTGTGGGTCTGAACCACACCAGTATGTCCCAGCATCCCTTGCTCTCAGCTCCGTGATCAGCACCGTGAAAGAGCTGGAAGAAACGTCATCTTGCAGCGTGAACCTGCTCTGACTCGTCACCATGTCTGTACAGTTGTTGCGGTGGTCTCCCTTACAGAGGAACTTCCTGTTATGCCTGTGTTGTGGTGGGTATGGACACTGCATAGTTCCTGGACGTCCCACAATGCCACTCAGTTTGTTTGATTTCACACAGCACCACACTGTCAAAAAAATAAAAAATAAAAAAGTATGAGCCAAATTATTTAAAAAACTAATAACATATCTGCTATTTTTTCCTTTTTTTCCCCATACAACGTTTTTAAGGCATTTTATACCTTTATTAAACAATAGAGAGATGACAGGAAAAGAGTTATAGTTACTGAGAAAAAATATACAGTCTGTTTTTTAAGGTCTCAAACAGGGAAAACAAGGTTTTATATTACTATTTGTTAATAAAATCGTTACACAATAACAATAACCTTTTAAGCAGCTTTGGTTACTTTTCAGATTGCAGTTTTCCAAACAACCTCTTCAGGAAATAAAATTATAACAACATCTGAGCCATAAAAATGAGTTTTAATTAACGTTAAACTTCTTTATTTTTCTTTTTAAAGAAGACAGTTTTACCTTATTAAGGCTCATTTATGCTCCCTTTACGTACGAAAATGTATACGTCCGTTTCAAACGATGTTACCGTCACTGCCCACATACTTCCACGCGCCCTTTACGTTGGCATGGATGTTAACCAATATATCCACCAGGAGGCAGCCCAGCGTCAAAAGTTTATGACAAAAACAAACATGGCGACTGTGGAGGAGATATTGATAATGTACCTCTTGCATAAAGGACAAAAACAGAGGCAGCATTGTAGGAGGCGGTGGTCGGTGAGGCCGTTAAATACATCGCAATTGGAGGATGGAGAATTCTTTTCTCTAGTACTGCCGATGAGAGAAATTGAATTGTTATTTCTTCTTCGTGTCTCACTAGAGCTACGTATTGGGTAGTGACAGCAACACTGCCCCCACGGTTCCTGGTGGTACTGCTCCGTTTGGCCCGTATCTGTAAGCTTTATGGAAACGTGCAGAAATACGGACGAAATGAACGTGAAGCACGGACAGAACGCTCCGTCCGTATCCGGATCCATATTTAACGTTGAGCATAAATGAGCCCTTACAGTGTGGGCTGTAACTATATGGCGGCTTGTTCACTGGCTGGCTATGATGTCCGTCACAAATCTTTAGCTACATAGTGCCATCTTGTGGGTCAAATTACCTATGTCAGCATTTACCTTGGTCTATAGGTCGCACCGGTCTATAACCCGCACCCAACTTTTCAGATGAAAAAAAAGGGAAAAAAAGTGCGACTTATACACCGAATTTTACGGTAGGTATATACATCATCAAAAGGAAAACAACATCAAAAGAAAAGACGATGGCGCAAAGCAACAAAACAACACATTCTCACTCCGACCTTGTCCCATATTGACGTTTTGGTCATGGACTTTCCACGTAACGTGAAAAGTACCCTGGGTGTGTTGGTTGATGACATTCTGGGACACTGTGTGAAGTCCTGCCTGTTACATGCAATGTCTTCTTTTAAAATACTTTTCTGTTTTCACAGGAAATTTAACTTTTACATACAGTCTCTTTCAAACAACGCACTACGTCAGTACAACACTGCAAATTGATGTTCTTTTTCCTTCAGCAACAAACAGACATGGTTGGGTTAAGGCACTAAAAGCATGTGGTTAGGTTTAGGAAAGAAGAACAGGGTTTAGCTTTGGAATCTTACAGGACGCTAGCACCGCTCTCTTGGGTGAAGGTCAGTGTTTGTTGGACCCATCCACCACCCTTTCCACTTGGCTGATTCGGACTTCCACTGCCTTAACTTTCATTCTTCTCCTGCTGGGTTTAGCCTGACGCCACGAGTGCTGTTAAACTATAACAGCAACCAGTCGAATATCATGCTGACGCTAAAGGATGCCTTTTTTGTTGGATTCTGACGCTGCAAGTCACTGCCCAAGCGCTGGATTTTGACAACTTCGGAGTGAAACCGGGCTCAACAAAAGCATCCTACATAATCAGATCAAGGATCAACAATGTGCAGAGCATTCATTTACCATGTAGCACTGAAGAAAATCAAAATAAATACTAATTAAAAAAAAAGAATTTCCCCTCAGGGGATTAATAAAGTATATTAAATTAAATTAGAATTAAATAAAATTAAAAAAACAAAAAAACAAATTGTGTTGCCTTTTCTTGAAGGCTTTTACAAAAAGATGGCAATCTTGAATACATCAAAATTAAACAACCATTCTAGCATTCCATATATTTACACACACCATATTATTTATTGTTTGTATTGTCTCAAAGCGGCTTCTTGGTGCTGTGGAAAACAACAGCATATTTAATAAGTTTCATTCTGGTACTGCCCTTAACTGAACAGGAAAGAAATTTTGTGTGTCCATCAACAACATCTTGTCATCCATTTCCAACATCAACTATGGTGTGCCTCAAGGATCAGTCCTGGGTCCAAACTTGTTCTCATTATACATGGTCCCCTTGGGTGATATCATCTATCTACATGGTGTCTCTTTCCACTGTTATGCAGATGACACTCAGCTCTACCTCCCTGTTAAACCTGCTGACCTCAGCATGCTGAGCTCTCTACAGGATGTAGTGTAATGTACTGATTTACTGAAGACATATACTGTACCTTTTAGTTGACTTTTAAAAGATACGTGTTGAAGCATTGTACTCTGTGCATTGACAAATTACACACTGGTTTATTATTTCATGTATTCCTATGACACACACACTCACTGAGCATTTAAGCATTGTGGTGGAGAAGTACCTAGGCATCATTTCTAAAAATAGCATGAGGATGGGCTCAGAAACACTGGTGGAAAATTAGGGGAATTACAGCTTGTCCTGAGAATGACCCTAGTAAGAGGAGGCGGTCTTAGATTGTCTAGGAAAAACATTACTCAGCAGAAATATGACACCATTATGGTGGTAGGATGAAAGGAGAAAAAGTGACTCAGCAGAGGTGGGATATCGTTACGATCAGAGCCAAGTGGGAAGGATTAAGAAAGAGATGACTCAGCAGAAAATCTTTACAATAAAAACAAGTGCGCAAACAAAGAAATTTCAGTCTTGCTCCGGAGCTTGACTCATTGGGTTGTGATGTGTTTGTTGCCTGCGAGCACATTAAACTCAGTTGCATCTGATTCTACGTGTCTCCAGTGATTTTTTTTGACCTCTGAGTATTTGAGTTTTTGATATCTAATGGAAGACAAAGAAAGTCCGTTTGAGAGGAAAAGAGCGAAGTCGCGAGCTAACTGGCCCAGCTCCCGACCATTTGAATTATTTTGCTTCTACAAGGACTGTTGTTAAATTTTCTAATAAATGAGAAATCCTTGTAATAATAATGTAAAACAGATACTGCCATCCACTAGTTACCTGTCACAACACATACAGCCTGCTGCAGGAATGTTAGATAGTAATTTATGTTTTGAACAGCATGACACTCAGCGTGTCCAATCATACTTTTATCACCTCAGAAATATTGCTAAAATAAGCTCTAGTTTAAATTTTAGAGATACGGAAACATACTTAGAAACTGTATACATGTATTTATCTCTTTGTGTCATGGTTATCGCAACAGCCTTTGTTCCTTTTTTAATCAAAAACCTTTAGACTGTTCAGAACTCAGCAGCAAGGCTTTTAACCAAAACCAAGAAGCACGACCACATCACACCAGTTTTAGCCTCTGTACATTGGCTTCCTGTTTGTTTTAGGAATGACTTTAAAATGTTATGTATTACTTTTAAGACTATTCTTGGCCTGACTCCAGACTACAGTTCAGACCTGTTAGTCCCTTAAGAACCTCTGCGTAGTTTGAGATCATGGGGCAGAGGTCTTCTGCTTGCCCCAGAGTCCAGACTGAACACTTAAGGGGACAGAGCTTTTGCAATCAGGGTCTCGAGGCTCTGGAATGACCTGCCTAAGGAGATAAGGCTGTCTGAGTCACTGGCTTGTTGAAGTCTTTCCAAAAAATATACTTCTGAGTTTGTCTGAGCTGTCTGTCTATTTTATTGCTATCTTATTGATTTTTCCCCCCCAATTATTATCTTGATTTTAGTTTTGGCCTTCCTTATTTTATCTTTTACTTTGATGACATTTTATGACATTTTATCACCTTGTGTTTTAAATGTGTTTAGTTTTATTGTACACCACTTTGTAACTGTGATTTGAAAGGTGCTATATAAATAAAGTTTATTATTATTAGCCAAGTTGTTCGTGTTGATTTCCAATTTGCTCTTGTTCTTTTTGAATAAATACAATAAACATAAAAGATAATAATACTTTGTAAAGAACAATCATTTAAATGAAACAAAAAAGGTCAAGACATGAGCAGTGACATAATCTGACAACAGTAACATAAAATAAAGTTAGAGCTAAAATAGGACTTAAATGAAATATAGTATTGGGGGGAAACTATCCACGAATCTAAATTAATCTCTATAGGGAACAGAATCACACAATGGACAGAATTTTATACAGCATTGTATTGTGAATAAGTGTTAATGTGCAATACGCGTGCAAGACTAACTCCTAACATAGTGCAGTTCCTCTTATTGCTGAGAAAGGTAACAAAGTGGAGTTGTATAATGTAATATATATAAACAAAAACAGCAAAAGACAATATGGAAAACTGATCTAAAGAGATAGTTTGACTTAACACAGTCAGATTTTGACGAACAAACGGTTAACGGCATATTGAGATCAAGATTAAGATGTAAATCAGTATGACGTTTTATGATTATTTGCATTATATTAATTATTAACAATACAAAACAATCTTTTAATTACTTTTTTTATATTATTAATTATCAAATGTGGGCAGCTATGTGACATACAACATAGCATATCATAGCAAATTGGCATCATGAAGTGATACAAATATCTTTATTTACCTGGCAATACCTCAAGTTTTACTTCAGCAGGGTAGACATCCTTAAAAGCCCTTGTCACCCCACACCAGTATGTCCCAGTATCCGTACGTCTCAGATCAGAAATGGTCACTTTGACGATTCGTCTCTGTTTGTCCTCACGGAGGGAGTACCTGTTCCTCTTTGCTTGTGTCGTTGTAATTAGAACATCACCAGTGCTGCCACAGTCATTCTTGCACAGGTACTTCTCGTAAGACTCAAAACCCCCTCCATAGGGACAGGATACATTTACTTCTCTCCCCTCATATCCAGACACATGGATAAACCGTGCACTAGAAACACAACTCAGAGGGACTGCAGCAAGAAGACAACAGAACATAAAAAACACTGCTGGAAAAAGTCTTCATGTAATATATCAATATATTATAGTTTAAGTCGGGTGCACATATGTAAATTTAAAACTCAAAGTACATGTTGTCTGCATCATTTATTTTGAGTTTAGTCAAGATTAAGTTGAGCATGTTGGAGCATGTTTGTTGCTGGCGTTTTTTAATTTTTACATGTAATGTGTTAATGAAACTGATTATAATAGGCTAAAGCATTGCCAAGTCAAAGCAATCTTATATTTGTATTCAAATTTCTTTCAACAAAGCAAATACACTTACTGCACAGGAGGAACAGCAGGTTGTGGGGGCTCTGCATCTTCATGTTACTGCTGAGAAACAGAAACCACATCTAATGTGATCCGAATCAGTCACGCATCAGAGTGAATGTGTGAACTGCTAGACAGACAAAAAAAGTCTCACGTGGGTTGATATTAAACCCACAGTATGCGTTAGCACACCGAATGTTTCCACATCTGCATTCAGGGGAAAGGTTTGATAAAGCTAAATGACTCCTCACACACTGCAAACCCTCTATTTAGTCCTCTCAGTGCTGGTAAAAGACCACACAGTAACGAACATCTCACTTACATAATAGCACTTATCCTGAAACAGTCTGCATCCTAAATGCTTCACTGGTTGTAAACATGCACATGCATCGTAGCTTATAACTTGCATGGGCATGCATGAGCCATATGGTTGCATTATTGTACTCTGTAATGTGGCAGTGTGTCTTTTGTGGGCTCTCCTATGTGCTTATATGCTGTTGAATGCACTAAAGCAAATTTCAGATCAACTGGTTGATATGGCAACCTTCTCAGTTCCTCACCTAAACCAACAGGGTCTGTATCATTATGAGATCGTCATATTGTTTCATATGTGTGAAAACCTCAGAACAACCTCATCATCGCTTCAAATAAATGTGGCCAAGAACAATAGTTCTTCAGGTATGTGTTGCCTCACAGCAAGAGGGCTCTGTGTGAACCTGCCTGTTCTCTGTGGGCCTGCATGGCCTTTTTCCGCCCACGGTCCAAAGACATGCAGGTTACTTGTTGACTCTCAATTGTCCGCAGGTGTGAATGTGAGCGTGAATGGTTGTTGTGTGTAGTTTAAGTGTTGCTAACATGTTTTAAACATGCGACTAGATTCCAAACTTTATGCAAACATTTATCTAAGAAAAGGAATAGTTTGTGTGAGCAAGTATCTTGTTGGCAAAGAATGTCAAAAATATCAAAAGTGGCCATAAAGGCAGGTGAAACATAACTATCTGACCATCCATTATCTGTAACTGCTTGTCCTACAGGGTCATGGGGCACTGGACCTGATCCCAGCTGACACTGGGCGAAAGGTGGGGTACACTCTCGACAAGTCAACAGTCAACCACAGTGTGAAACCTATCTCTGTTTTATTAATAGAGTGACATAAAAAGTAAATTAGACTGACTCAAAAAAGAAAAAAAAGCACACTAACGAGAAATATGACAGTGAGTTCATTTAAAGAGAACTACAGCGTGGGTTGTTGGATGAAGTGAGTCTCAGATCCTGTGTATTCCTGTGGTTAAAAAAAACAAGAAGAAAAATAAAGATATCTATTGATTAATGCAACAACTTCTGAATAAAAAACTGGATGATAATCCACTGAATTGTGTTTATGTCTCTTTTTTGTGTGTCAGGATACAGAGAGAGGCCAAGCAGTGTGTGTGTGTGTGTGTGTGTGTGTGTGTGTTTTCGCTCTCTATTAATGTCACTGGTGTTTACTGGCATGCTCTAATTTACTTTAATGACTCACTTGTTACTTCAGTTTATCAACTGACAATGTGGTGACATTGATTTCATATATAATTCATCAAGTGTAAAAACAAATAGTGATGAGTTGATTCATCTGGCTTTTTTATTTATTTATTCACTTTTATTTAAGATATATACAATAAACAGGAAGGTTACTTACATTTGGGATATTTAGGTAAAATGTTTATAAGGAGTGGAGGTAAGTTATATTAAAAAAAATCACAATAGTGAGTGTGAAGGTAATAAAAAGTGTAAAAATAAAGTATTAATAAATGATATATATGATGGTAACTATAAAACAAATCTGTGCAAGTAATTATATTACTGTAGTTTTCAGTTAGACAATGAAAAGGTTAGAGTCAGCTGTAATAATGTGTTTGTTAGCTTTTAACTGAGACAATAAAAAAACAGCATCATTCAGGTACAAATGTAACCTAAAAATGCAGATGTGCATGATGTTTATCTCCTATTGGCTTTAATGACAAAGTCATTACAGTAGATGTCATCTGTTGAGAAGTTTTGGTAGTCACACTCTTCTTCGGCATCGCCCACATCATCATAGTGCTGACAGGCACTCTGCAGTTTGGAGGTCCTCTGCTTCGACAGTGCTATGCCTTGATTTTCATAAAGCTAAAATAGAATAAACAAAGAAGTGTGACTCAGATGAGAATTCATTAGAAAATGTCCAAATAATCAGCTGGTTGGTCATTTCATTTGCTCAGAAGTTTGGAAAACAGCTACGAATTTCCCTGTACAGTACATATTCATGACAACCACAGACATAATGTTCATGTTTCTGGTGACCTCCTGACCTTTCCTCTGATGCCATTATCAGGTCAGAATATTCACTTGTGACCAAGAAATATCAAAACCTAACAGACAAATTATTAATTCACTAAGCACATTCCTGCTCCCAAAAGGATGAACCCGTATCAGCGTATCAGCTATCAGGCTCCTCTCCTGTGGAATCATCTTCCTGTTACGGTCCAGGAGGCAGACACTGTCTCCACATTTAAGACTAGACTTAAGACTTTCCTCTTTGATAAAGCTTATAGTTAGGGCTGGCTCAGGCTTGCCCTGTACCAGCCCCTAGTTAGGCTGACTTAGGCCTAGTCTGCCGGAGGACCTCCTATAATACACTGGGCACCTTCTCTCCTTCTCTATCTCTCTCTCTCTCTCTCTCTCTCTCTCTCTCTCATGTCCTGTTACTGCATCTTGCTAACTCGGCCATTCTGCATGTCACTAACTCGGCTTCTTCTGTGGAGCCTTTGTGCTC